TCGAACCCAGTCAAATCGGATCATGGGCCGATTCCACTCGACTCACCATCTATGGACCGATCCGGTATACTAACCCGAATCAGGTAACTTCCTATAAATACTTTGCTTTTTCCTAGTATTTTTAGGATAAAGATTCTTTACAATCTAACTCATAAATCATAATTTTCAAAATACTACTTATATCTCTTGATTCTTAAAGTCTGTCATATTAAAAATATTTAATGAATTGTTTAAATCCCCAAAAAAATTTATAAATTTAATAGTTTACATTTTTGTATTTTTTCTCATATTATATTTGATTTTATCAGTTTAAATTTTTGAAAATTCAATTTTATTTTTTTTGTATTGTTTGAAATTTAGTATTATTAAATAAATTTATCTCACAATCCAAATTAACAATGACATATGTCAAGATCTCATAAGTTATAATTATGTTATGTCTCATACTCACGTTGAACGATTAAGTTTTATATTATAAAGTACTAGATTAAGGCTCACAAGATACGCAATTGAAATTAAAAAAAAATATATATACTTTAATTCTAGAATTGATTTTCTGCATAATTATAATCTATATAATTTAATTTTAAAGTAAAAAAACAAGTTTAGTTATCCAGAAATTATATTTTATGATTCGTAATTAAAAAAGTTCAACGCTGATCTACATTACCTATAAACAATCTGTTTAAATAAATGAGACAACTCAAAAATAAAATTTCAAACGTTAATTTTATCTAAACATCATTATTTCGGAATTTGATATATAATGAATTTTATATAGATTTAATAATTTAAACTTTTTTTGATTTTGTATTTTTGATGTTTTCTTATATTTTACCTTTTTTGATTTTCCATCTTATTAAAAAACTTTTTTTTTTATGAAAAGTTAAAATTTTTACATTGACTATGTCTCGATCTAAAATAGCAATAATACATTTCATAAGCTTGTGAGTTATAATTACATGTTCATGTTAAACGATTCAACTTTATATAGTAAATATATATATATATATACTTATTATTATTGAATGAAAAAGATAAAAGTCATAACAAACCAGAGATACACAATCCACAAAATCTAATAATAAAAATACCATATATTAGTCTACTAGATGCCTGGCTCGCGACTTGCATAAATAGAGAAGTTTCATTAAATAACCACATTAATAAATTTATTATTAATAATATATCAAACACAAATATAAAAACAATAGAAAACAAAGGATCATCTAACCATGTTAAACTTCATTTCTAAAGTAGTCATTATTTGTATAAATTAAGTGAATACATGTGCATATGCGTGGGTTTTGATATCATAAATTATATATCCCCTCTTTTTTATCTACTGGTTTGATGTTAGCTCTCAGTGTATATTTTTCAAACACCATTATAACTTTGTACTCGATTTCCTTTATGTTTAATAAAAGTATCGATTCTCAACAATCAAGAAACCCATTAATGGAAAAAGAGTAAAAGTATCAATTCTGAAGCATAAGTAAACCAAAGTGTCATTAAAACAAATCATTTAATGAGTAAAAGTCTACACCAAAACAAATAAAATAAACTATTGTATCCTTACATTCTGAAAGATGGTCTTGTATACAACGTTCAAAGTATTGATTTGTGGTTTATCTATAGTATCCGTTATCAAAAACTTCAAACCAGCTCTCGAAGTAACACAGGATATAGCCACATAAAGTTCTCCGTGGAAAAATACGAGTTTTGGTAAATATAGTCCAACCTTTGCAAAGTCTATCCTTGGCTTTTATTGATAATCATTGCATAGGCGATGGCTACAAAAAAATTTCTGCGCCTCATTCTAAAAAGAAACTTTGACTAATATACTCACCAGTTATGTGGCTAGCTTGAATAACATGTTTGGCCAATTGTGTTATCAAGAATCTTGTTCAATTGCATAAACCACCTCTAGGGTCAATATTCCAAAGCAAAATAATAGGTGTTTCTATTTTTAATTTTAATTCATGGTTCGGCACTCGTGAGATCTTATACTATTAAGATATTCTTGGGTGTAAATTTTTTCGTCAATCTTGTCCTAAACCCTAAACCCCTTGCATGAGCATAGGGGTTACAAAAACATACAACAGAACTTAATGTTATAAACTGACGACTGAAGAGAATTAAAACAATCATTTAAAACATAGATGATAAAATAAAACAAACCCAAAAGTAAACACCATCCAAAATTAAAGATCAAATGCTACTAAATAAGTGTATGAAACTCAAAAACCAATTGAACTAAGAAAAAAATGAATTCTTCGTCTCCACATAATCGTTTTCATCTTCTTATTTTTCCTTCTTATTTATATGTTGGTTTTTCTTCTGTATCTTTTTTTCTTATCTTTCTTTATCGTTTTCCACCTTTATCTCACCTTATTATCTCACATCTACTTCTTAGTTTTCTTTTATTTTCTTTTATTTCTTCTTCCTTCTCCTCTTCATTCTATATGTCTTTTCTTACTTCTTATTCTTTAGGATTTTTTCTGGTCACGTCTTCTTCGTGTTTTCCACATATTTTCCTTATCTTCTTATTCTTCTTCATCATCGCCTTCGTCTTCTTCATTTTTTCCGACTTAATATTCTTCTTATTCCTTCGTCTTTTATATTAATCAAATACCTATACCTCAGAACTTTAACTTTCTCTCTATCTCCCTCCATGCGTCCCTCCCTATCATTCTCTCTCTCTCCCTCTCTTTCTTTCAATATTTCTCTATCACTCTCTCCCTTCCTCTCTCGTCCTACTTTGTATATATCATATGATTTTGAAAATTATATTTAAAGTAAAAAGTATTTCGTATATTAAAAAATAGGAACACAAAAAGACGAACTAACATATATTTAATATCACGTACCTGAAATGTTTAACTCTCTCTCTCCCCCCTTTCTCTTTCTCTCTATTTCTCTCACACTCTCACTCTCCATCTATATGTCCCTGGAAGCGTCTACATGTCCCTGAAAGCATTAACTCGATTTCTGTCTCTCCCTCTTTCTCCAAATTCATCATCTTCTTCTCCTTCTTATTCTTCAACATTTTCGTCTTGTCATAAGTTTTATTAATATGATTTTTTTCTCTTTTATTTGGTCTTCTTCTTCGTCTTTTCCATCTTCTTTATCATTGACTTCAATTTTCTTGTTCTTTATCTTTTCTTTCCTCTTCTTCATCGTCTTCAACTTCTATTTCATTTCCCTCTTCGCATTTGTCTTCTTCTTCTTTCTCTTCTGTTTTGTTCTACTCTTCTTCTTACTTTTAATCTTATGGTTTAGTTCATTCTTGTATTTTCCTTATTTTTTTTTGGTTTTTATTCGTCTTCTTGTTCATTCTCCAATTGTATGCCCTTTGTCTTCTTTTTCTGCCCCAAATTCTTCATCGTATTTGACTTGTACTTTTTTTCTTATTTCTCTTATATATCTTTCGATTTTCTTATTCCTCACTATTTTCTAGCATCTTCATCATCGTCTTTGATTTATTTTTCATCATCTTTGTATTCTCACAATTCTTCTTCTTCTTTTTCGATTTGTATTAGCCTTCTTTATCCTCTACTTCTCGCCAAAGTTCATTATCATTTATATGTCGTAGGTTATTTTCTCTCTCATAAGAGTGGGCACGATGGTATCAGTGCATTGGTAAACAACCTCTTTGGTAGCTTTTATCTTTCCTTCTATCCAGTTCTTATCTATACTTACATGTACTTGAAGACTTCAAATGTTTTGTCAACCATATTAATCAGATATCAAAAACACAGAAGTGACAAACTAACAGTGATAAAATATTGATCAATTACATGTTCTTGAAGGCTTTAATAAATGCTGATCAATTTCACGACCCTGAAGGCTTTAACTCTCGCAAGCACGGGCGCAAAACCATGCTGAGTGTAGATAGACAATCTATTTTCTAGCTTTTGTCACTTTGTCTTCTCGGTTCTTTTCTTTCTCAAAAGCATGATCGCAGAAACATGGTATCAGTACGTAGGTAAAATAAACCTTTTGGTAGCTTGTGTACTTTTAGCTTTCTTAAGGTCTCTCTAGTTACTTCCAATATGTCTCCTACATCAGAGACAATACCATTCTCCTCTCTCTTCTCTTTTGGATCTGTCTTGACCTTTGCTTCTGGTCTTGCTAATACCAGCCTCAAACACAACAGGTTCATAGCTTAATCTGTAATAATTGAATCGAGAATTATAGCTCAAGCTGTAAATTGACCTTTGATAGCACTAATCAAACTATGTAGATCGGAGTACAGACACAGAAGAGATAAAAATACTGCGTTCTGTTTTATCTTCTTATCTCATACTTGAAAGCTTTTCTTTTTGTCAAGTTGGATTCTATCAAATGGCTAAGTTCACGGTAACGCCAACGATTACCCTTTCAGAGTTTGTTCTCTTATCTAAAATTTTCATTTTGTTTCACGGAAATTGTTTCTCTTTGTTGGTACTTATCTTTTAAGCGCGGACATAATTTTTGATATCAGAGCCTAAGGTAATTAAACAATTTTTTGATAATTTTGATATCATGTTAAGTTTCATCTCTAAGATAGGCATTATTTGTATACATTATGTTTATAGATTACTGTAGTTTCTCATTCTCCCTAGACAAAAATCTCTCCCTCTTTTATCAGAATTATCTTTCATTTTTGTCGATTTTTATCTTTCACGCAAACGTGGACATAAAATTATTATATCGGAGCTTAGGTAAACAATCTCTTTGTTAACTTTAATATCATGTTAAAGTTTAAATTTGAATTAATCATTATTTTTATACGATATTTTATATGGATGAATTTATTATCGATAATAAAACTGCAGACTTTATAATAAAACAGGCCGATAAACTTTTAAATAAAACACGTTTTAATAACCTAATCACAACAAAATTTGCTACATTACTTAAGACTAATAAACAATTAATTAAAATCGATAAAAATATGTAAAACAATAAATAAATATTAGATGTAAGCACAAAAATATACATATAATCAATTTTTTTGACTTCGCAAATAATATAATAGATTTTGCTTGTGATGGGTGAGTTATTATCTCTCCCAGACTTTATTGAAATATATGCAGTTTTTGCTTCACTTTTTCATGACTCAAGCGATTAAAACAAACTCAGTAGCTCAAGATCCAACTCATTTAGGATTCTCACCTTTCTAAAATTGTCTCGACAAGAGTTTTGTGTTTTGCTTCACGTGGGATGTTCTCATCTCTCTATTGGAGTTCAGTTTTTAAAGCTGAACATATATTTCCCCTTTCTTCCGGTGCATATACCAGACTAAATCCACACTTCACCACCTCGCAACCTCTGATCTCTTCCATACCATCTGTCACTTCAAACTCAACAGAGGTTTCAGTACAAACACATTCATCGTCCTCTTCACTAATTTTGTTGATATCCAACCTACTCGTAAAGCCAATAAAGACATGAGATGACACAATCTCCCGTGATGTGTTACTTGGTTCGCTCCAACCTCCAACAGTGCAGCAAAAGCGGTTACTAGACCCATCTTCATTCTTGAACTCACAATTACATTTCAGTAAGACACGTTTCCTCTGGTTGTGGTAACCATCAAATACGATAACAGCGCATAGACCAATCCCAGTAAACTTGTTGTCACACCAGTGTGGAGGCAGCTTCGGATTTAACACCGATCCAGAGGCTCGGTGACTGAACCACGCCGGTACTTCCCATCCAGGAAAACAAGTTCCAATCAAAGCTTCCAAAACTAAACCCTGCAAAAGAGAATGCCAAAACAAGATGAGACACCACAGATGCAGCAATGGAGACTGGAAACTGATAGAGATAAATAGACATACCCCATTGTATCGTGTTAGTTCATCTAGCACTGACTGGCTTCTCCACCGAGTATAGGAAATGATATTATCCTTTGCGTCTTGATCCAACTTGTTGCAGTTGGAAAAATTAAAAGTGGCATGGATAGGGTCAGACAACACGGAAAGGGCTACAGGATTTGCAACTGTTTCCAGTGAATCACAACCATGTGCATCAAAGTACTGAAGTCTTGGTGGAAGCATTGGAACAGATATCAGCCTCTGGCAATACTTCACATCGAGCCATTTCAGATTATAAAGTTTCCCAATGTCAGGATGCAGGGTGACAAAATCATTTCCACTCAAACATAGACGTCGCAGTGAGGATACTTCCCTAACACCACATGGCCATTCTCTCGCGCTGCAATGTGATCCTAGAGGTTGTAAGAACGTATCTTCAGAAGCTGGGCTTTCGGATCCAGTGAAGCATGACATGCTTGGCATCTCTTTTACTCCTGTCCCATCAAGAAGTAAAATCTGGAGATGTTTTAAGCTATTCCTGACATCCGGAAGATTCTTAAGCCTTGAACAACCAGAGAGTATTAGCTTGTCAAGAGATTTCAGGTCACCCAGACAATCGGGAAGGGACTCCAACATTTTGCAGTTTTTCAAATTCAACATGACAAGCCTCCGGAGGTTCTGTATAGCCAGAGGAAGTCCTTTGATTGCCGTGCCATCTAAATGCAAAAATTCTACACTTTCTGAAATAAGCTGAAAGTCCTTTAGGTTTGAGCAATCACTGAGGATGAGTGTTTTCAAAGAGATTAAATTCATCTTAAGAGACCAAAGACGTATGCATCCTCTCAGGTTCAGGAAAACAAGAGACTTCATGTTTTGAATCTCCACCGGCAACTCATCCAAACTCGTGCAGCCTTCCAGATTGAGTCTTTGAAGATTTTCAGCCATTGACAATGCTGACAAGTCAAGCAACTCACTCGAGTGGCTTAGATCTACCCACTTCAACCGTGGTGTCTCCTATCAAAATTCAACCACCGATCAAAAACTGCACAAGCCATCAAGTGAAAACATCTATGCAAAAAGATGGCACAAAAAGACACACCTTTTCGCCTTCCCAAACACGTGTAATCTTACTGTATGGCAGCCTAAGGTCAACAAGATTCTCCGGTCTGAAGTCTGGTGGAAGCTCCTCCAATGGAAATTTCACCCAATGAAGATATCGGATCTCTTCCAAGGGGAATTCAAGCCCATCCGGGAAGTGTAATTTGCAGTCAGCTTTACATTGCCGCAGACAACAAGAATCGTATATTTTCATGTATCGAAGATTGCGCATATCAATGAAGGTTGAAATGTCCAAGCACATGCTCTTCGTTAAGTTTGAAGTGTCTAAGAAAATACCTCTTACGTTATTGACATCCTGTTCGCAGGTCAAAAGGAAAACATGTTAGCAAAAATTTACAGTTTAACTAGAAACCTTGTCTATATAAATGTTTTTCTATTTTCTAAGTTATCGTTTATTATTGTTATTTCCTGTTTTCAAAGTACATAGTGGAAAAAGAGTTCACGATCCACCTTAAGAGTTTACTTATTGTTGATTTATCTTAGTGTTCAGGTTTCAGACAGGGCAACAGTTTTTCCCTTATTTCCTATAAAAGATTACCTGTACTGCTGTACATTTATTTTAGAAAAGCCAGAGAATGCTAGAAACATGATTGGGTATTCTCTTTCACAGGAAATAAATAAACTTACTGATTCTTCCATTTTCGTTAGCACGCTGATGATTTCTTCGTAGTTCGACAGGCTAAGCCACCGAGGAGAACCTTGGTCCTTAGAGAACGTATGTAGTGGAACATTCATCTCTACTCGGCCATCAGTGATTGTAATCAGGAACTTGTTAACGAGATCTTTTACTTCACTCACAGCATCAGTAGAGTCAGGATCTCCTGAATCTAGTAAACTCCTAACAAAGTACTCATCCTCTGATTTAAAAAAGCACACTATGTCGAGAAACACATCTTTCTGCTTGTCACTAAGTTTTAGTTGTTCAGCAAAGAATCTCCAGGCATTTTGGACCATCATATTGGGTTTTTCTGTCACCATTTCCAATTCAGCCTCGCCTTTCCCATAAATTTCCCTACCTAGTAATGTGAGAATCAATGGGTGTCCTCGAGCGTATTCCACAAAAATTCTAGAGAGCATCAGGAAGGTACTGGTGGGACTACATTGACCATCGAAGGCATGATATCTTAAGAGTTGAGAGGCCTCTCCATCGTTCAATTCCGGGACCACATAAGTATCATTAGTGAATCCCTCAAGCAATGACTTGTCACACGTTGTAATAATAATCTTGCTTCCCTTCTTAATCCAGTCAAGTTCACCCAGGAGAAACTCTAACTGTTCCTTGTCACTCACGTCATCTAGAACAGCAAAAATCTTTGTCTTGAGTAGTTCAACTTTCACAGATCCATGTGTTGACTCGTCACTTAACTTCCCCTCGAGTAAAAGTTCCAGGAGTGTCTTTCGCAGCCCCGCTGGCCCATAGTCCTCTGACTTCTTACGGATATCCAGAAAAGGAACGCAACGGACAAACTTGCGGTTCCACTTTTCGTGCAGCTTCATTGCGAGAGTGGTTTTACCAATACCAGGCATCCCAGCAACTCCAATAATTCGAGTATCATTGCAATCAAACTCCAACTTTTTCTCCAATTGCTCCATACGTAGCTCCATTCCAAAAAGCTTTTCTTCTTTTCCTGTGGGCAATTCAGTTCTTTTTCCTTTCGCTGTAGAAGGAAATAGAGACGGTTTTTCTCCTTCCTGCTCCGATATAATCCTCATGACATTCTTGACGATGTCAGTGACGATCCTACTCTCAGAACTGCCATAACCATTAAGAAAAAAACGGATAAGTGGCAACGATCATATACGCACGAAGAATCTAGTAATTTCAACAATAACCAATTCAAGCCAATAGTAAGCTATAAATTTAAAATCACCTGCCCTCACTCAAGACGAAGCCCAAAGTGGACGCAGTAGATTCCAAAGCTTCCTTCCATTTCATGATATGCCCAGCCCGGCTACTACGGCACAACCTCCAAAAGTTGTCACCAAATTGTCCCATCAGTTTTCTAACCTGCGATGGCTCCACCTTGTAGAAAATGGGAATCGCAATGAGTTTGCCTTCCTCTTTTGTTTCTTTGATCTTCACCAGCTCGTCTAAGCACCATGCCGATTCAGTGTACCTTTCCGAGAAGATGACGAGCGCGATCTCTGATTCCTCGATCCTCTTGAAAAGGCTTCCAATTTCTTGACCTCTCGCCTCCATTTGGTCTACGAAGACGCCGACCCCGTTCATTTTTAAGGCCGGGATGAGGTGGCTGACAAAGCCATGGCGTAGGTCAGCTCCTCGAAAATTGATGTAGACTTTATGCTCTGAGGAGGGTACCATGGTAAAGCTTTCGCTTACATTTTCTTGCTTGTTTTCTTCATTGGGTGAGCCAACTTTATTGTTCTCAGAGCTATCCTGTAGCTTAGGGGTTGCGTCAGAGTTTTTTTCACCGAGTAAATCATCGTCCTTTCGTAATTTTTCGGGAAACTTAGCTTCAGGCTGATCCCTTGGAAGACGGATCAAAGCCATCTGGACTTGATTGACGATTTCTTCGATAAACATGAATTCGCTACTGCAAAATGGATGTAAGAAAAAACAATGAGACTCCCTGACAGAGTAAGGCCTTAGCAATGGTAGACGCACACACAACTTAAGCCCATTGTAGCTGAGAAGGTTCCATTATGATGCCATTGCACTACTATATTGATCAACTATGAGAATTAACAATCACGATCTAGGGGTTTATTCAAGAGTTCGTCTCCTATAGTCCCAACACTATCCAAGATACATCTAACAATGCATAAAACTCTCCCACTAGTCTTCTCCTACTATTTATACTCTTTCTCTCTTCCTCTCTATGTTACAACAGTTGAACCGACAATTAATAATCTTCTTCTCTTCTCATTCTCTTCTCTTCTCTTCGAGTTCAGTATGATTTATGTAGTAAGATAGGCAGGGTAGAATCCATACCTGCTCTCATTTAACACGAGCCCTATTCTTTTTGAAACGAGATCCAAAGCTTCCTTCCATTTCTTGAGCTTGTCGAAGTCAGAATTACGTTTCCCGAGATTCCACAAGTTAATTCCGAAATCTCCATCAAGCCGTCCCACTTGGAATGGATCCATCTTGTAGAAAATGGGAATCGCCATGAGTTTGCCTTCCTCAGCTAATTCTACTATCTTCACCAGCTCGTCTAAGCACCATGACGATTGAGTGTACCTTTCCGAGAAGATTACAAGCGCCACCTTCGACTCTTCGATCCTCTTGAAAAGGCTATCAATAGGTTGACCCTTCGAGATTTCACTGTCTACATAAACGTTGACTCCGTTCCTTCTCAACGCCATCTCGAGGTGAGCGATAAAGCTCTGGCGCAGGTCTCCTCGAAAACTGAGGTACACTTGCGGAGGCTCTGACCGGGTTTCTTCGTCCAACGCCATGGAAGAATTTCTCGCACGGAATTTTGTTTCCAGAGACGAACTCGAAAATTTGGGGAAATGAGTTTTTAGGAAAAGATTTAAGTGAAGAACATCTTCTTCGTCAACGTTTCGTAACACTATCGAATTTTTAATGATTTTTAATACCACAAATACATGTGTATTATTTATTTTATCTTTTATCGACCAATTTCGAATCAGCCACTTCCTTGTTATTTGGAAAAATTGCAAAAAAAAAAACTCAAAGGTTTAAAATTTCACTAAAAAAACCCAAAAAAATATTAAGGTGTATGTTAAAGCCTAAGGTTTCGTATAATGTAAATTTAAACTCAGCTGTAAACGGAGTTAATTTTCTAACAAAAAACTCAAGCGCACCACTTAATTAACCTTCCAAAACGACTGTGTTTTATTCTTTTACACAGAAAGAACGTTGGCGACGCAAAAATGAAAAGAGAAAATCAATTCTATATCGATTTGGATAAGAAAAAAAATCCAAATCTTCAAATTTCTGTGTGACTATGGAATAAGTTTCAATTTTGGAATATTATATAGTCTTTTTCGTTTTCGATTTACTGGGTTGCTTTGTTTCTTCATGTTGTTCCACACGTGTCCTTTGAATTCTTAATTTCAGATTCTTTTGATTTTGGTTTGAATTCTCTAATGAAGCCAAATTCTTAATTTTAGAAGAAGTGCCATTACTCCAGAAGAAGTTTCACAGCCAATTGTTCATAACCAAACTAATATGGAAGAGGTACCGTCAATTATATCTTCTATAATCAAATCTGCTCTTGCCTTATTTTTGTAACCAATTATGCTCTCGTCTTTTTGTTTTTAGGAATTCCATTGATAAAAATTCTGGTATTTGCGAAGTTAGGAGGCTGGTTTTTGTGAAGTTTGGAAGCTCGTTGTTGAAGTTAGTAAGGACCGATGAGGATGAAGTTAAGAAGCTGGTTTTTGTCATATAAAGAGTCTTCTGTTTTTTTCTTTTTGGGAAATGATTTTTCTAAGAATCGTTGACATGAATTTATCTCTCTAAAAGACGTGTGAATAAGCTTTTGTTATCTAATGTTGTTTGCCATAAAACAGAAAATCTGACAATCAAAATTTAACTTAGATATCGATTAAACCCAAAACCTAAAAATATAAAATCTCCAATTAAAATTCAAATCTAAAAATCGTTTAAACTCAAAACCAGAAATAGAAATTGATTAAAAACAAACATAAAAGCTTGATTCTACCTCTGTTTCGAAAAGAAGCAGACGAAACAAAGATGATCTGATGAAAGAAATTGAAAACAGTGTTTTCTGTAGAAAAGAATAAAACATGGTCGTTTTTGTAAAGTTAATTAAATGGTGCGTTTTAGTCTCTGTTAGAAAGTTAACTCCGTTTACGGTTAGGATTTAAAATGCATTATACGAAACTTTAGGTTTTAAAATACATCTTAATTTTTTAGATTTTTTTAGTGAAATCTGAAACTTCTAGGTTTTTTTGCAAATTTTTCCTTGTTATTTTATTAAGCTGTCCCTAGCCGGGTCCCTACTGACAAAATAATTGATGCTGAAAGTGTGGTCATTTTTAATCAAAGCTTCTTCTATTATGAGTTTTATTTTTGATCCAAGTTAATGGGCCTTCATAGACCCATTATCGGCCCATTAAATACTTAAACCGGGGACTGTGCGTTGACAGAATCAACCACCACGGAAGTCTGGATTGGAGAAGGCAAAAGCAAAATGGCGACTTGGATAACGTTACAGCCTCCAAATTCATCTTATTTACGGCTTATGCCATCATCACCGTCGCCGGATTTATCCCCGGCGCGTCGACGTCACTGTTATCTCTTTAAGCAGTTTCGATGCGTTCCACTTCAGCAACAAGAGCGCCAGCTCGAGCAGTCGCAGGTACCAAATGACGACTGAGAAACAAGAAAACCGATGAAACTGAAATTGGAATTGTTCTGATTTGACAATTGAATTTGATGATTTTCCGTTTAAAGGGAGACGATGAAGCTTTGATTCTGTGTGAGGACTGTAACGGGAAAGGATGGTTGCTCTGCGATTTCTGCAAAGGACAGAAAACAAATGTTAAATCTGAGAACAAGAGAATTTACCGTCGATGTCCAACTTGCAGAGCTGTAAGTAATTACAAAACCTAAGATCTTAGCGCTTTTCCCCCAAAATTGTTTGGATGAAGCTATGAAAAATGGTTGTCTGATTTCTGAAGTTGAATAATGTTAAACAGGTGGGATATGTGTTGTGTAGAAAGTGTAAAGTGTTCAAGTGTGTTACATTTCCTAATGCAGAAGACGGCGAGGAACTTTTGTTCTAAGCTCAATGACACAAAGTAATGTTTCAGGTTTTCTTCCTTTTCCTCATTGTTATATATGTAACTGTTGTCTTACTCGTCGATTTAGCCATATGTATTAGCACATTTGTAACATTTATCAGATTAGTGATTGCATTGGCTTCTTCACTGACCTCTATGTTCATGTGTGAACCTTTCCTGGTTTTTTTTTCTGCAATGTGCCTCTGTAGATATATATATGCATTCAATGATTAATGCATGAAATTTTTGATTCCCTTGTCGTTTAGCTTGTAACCTCAATGGTTAATTGCTGTCTTATAATAAGGCATATGGCTGTTCTTGTTAATCTGCTGCTTTGCTATCTTTTTATAGAATGTGCAACTCCTTTCCCCAAGGTTTCTTATTTGATTATCCTCAATATCAGGTTCAGGAGATTAGTTTAGAATTTGTGATGGTATAAATCTCAGGTACATATGTCATGTGGCCATTTTCTGATTTATCGGATCTCGAATCTTTCGATGTTTATATTTTGACTTTGCCCATCATTACTCATATGGCAGAGAACAAACATATGATTACATGAACATCTTTCTTGCTTTCTTGAATCTTGATTGGTTTATGGGATGGTCAAATCAATCCTTGTGATCTGCCGTACTCGTCTATGCATGTGAACACAATAATGGAGATACTTAGTTTACATAAGAATATTTATGTGACTCTGTTATTAGCATATTATATTACTAAGTATCCTTATTATAGCTTTAGTTTCCGTTAAAGAAGCTTAGGATACCGTACTTTTTCGCCTTTGAATAGTTTAACAACCACATTCCAGTTGGTGATTAATGGTACAATTCCGTAATTATTGTTTTGATTCCATTATGGATTATTTTATTGCTTTTTAATCTCTGATTACTCTAACATAATCGCAACTTTAGTTCACATGGTTGTTCCGGAAAACCCGCAAACTGCACAAATAGAAACATGAATCATTTTTTGTAGAAAAGTCTATTCTAATTGATTTCTGCATTTTGGAATCATTTGATTTCTGCATAGAGTTAAATGACAAAATTCAGATGTTTAATCCATGTGACTCATTCTCCTCCACTTTCATTAGGTTCTTTCTGCTGAGATTATACATCAACTTGTATTAGATACTCCAAACTAATAGATATCCAATACATCAACAAAAGGAGATGGTTGTGTCATGAATTTGCTTGCCGATGTTCTTACTGACTTGTGTTGCAAATGCAGACAACTAGATTACAAACGATTTAAATCTTCATGTGTATGCAAAACTCAAATAGTGTTTTTTACTTGATTCACTTTACACAGTATTTGATTTGTTCTTGTACCACGAGGCTACTGCATATGTCATCAGGGATAAATTGGTTATATCGATCGGTTGTCGGATTCTTGTAAGAAATTTCCACCAGAGAATATGACAAAGTCATTTTAAGTTTTCATCTGTCAGTGCTCAGATGTAACCACAACAAAAATCGAAACAGAGCAGAGAAAGAACAACGGCTCTCCATGAATAGAGGCTCTGATTTCAGCTTCAGTTATCGGTTTGTACATTTCATTATTCAAAATCTCTCTTCTCTCTCTCAGCAGTTATAAGCACACAAATCCAAATCCCTAGAGAAAAAGTGGGAACATGGAAATAAGCAGAAAAGGCTTAAGTCAACAAAGAGAGGAAGAAGATTCAGGAGCAACAAGAAATGAACAAAACTATCTGCACATTGGGCTGTGTGGTTGGTGCGAAGGAGTCCGAGGACATTCCGATGGATGCCTGTAACTCTTCTCGTCATTTACTGCTGCATTGAATTTACAATCCTGTTTAGCTGTTGTTGTCATCACCAGGTACCCTTGGTTCTTCTCCTCCATTATCTTCAATATGCTCTCGAAGACAGAAACTTCACAAGGTATCCGCAAGACACCGGCTTGTTGAAACCCAAACTCTTCTTCTGCTTCACGCAGAAGAACAAGGAAAGCTTGGTGGCTAAGGTACTCTGTTGGTATTGTGTACCTCTTTTTCTCTAACCCTACCGAGACAGCTAGATACCCTTTAGGAACAGCTGTTGCATCTGTAAATGAAAGTGTCCTCTTCAGAAACTTGATGCTCTTGCTTCCTCCGCCATTGCTGTTGTTGTTGTCTTCGTTGTTGTTGGCTGCTTTTGATGCATTTGCTTGTTTCCGCCATTTCTTGAGGATCTGTTGAAGCTTAACGATCTCTTTTATCTTGTTTGACTTCTTGGCTTCCATGTTGGAGACAGAAGACAAGAAATGGGTTTTGTGCTATGTTTTGTCTATGTGATGGTTTAGCGGTTTGGTGTTTGTGTTTCTTCTCTCTGTGTGTAGTGATGAGGACGTGGTGGATTTTGAGAGTTGGGGATATATAGAGAAAGGTGTTGGACCTTGTAATTCTGATGTAATTAATTATTTCTGTAGTTTTCTTGTTAAGATATTGGGCTAATCATATGCTTTAGGGTATTTTAATTAATTTACACCAACTTGAACTTGTTGACAAAAACAAATATGAACTTTGAAAATTAGGTTTTCTTACAAATCTCTCCATATTTTAAAATAAAATTATTACATGCCGCAAAAGTGAATATATTGAGTTTACATTTGCAGAGTACAGATTTTTTTTTCTTGTTAAAGCTAGTAGATTAAATTGCGTCTGTAACTTATATCTGTTCTCTAAATAAATTATTTCTGTATTTGTAAACTTTGTTTCAAAGTAACCAAAAGGAAGATGTTAATAAATTAATATAGTAAATATATTATGCATGTATCATGTATGAGTACAAAAAACGAGTAAGACATAATCATTTGTTTCAACGACTAACTCATATGCTTAGAATAAAATTTATTCTAACAACACCAACTTCAACTTAATACATAAACCCATAAGTTCATAACAAAAAAAGTTGGCGTCGATTTTTGGACACAAACGTCAAAGTTTAGTTACTTTCTAAAGTTTTTGAGCATTACAAAATTACAAGGAATGAAGGAAATAATAAAGTTTTGACGGCGATGATCTCTGCTTGTGCGGTGGTTAATTAGAGGGGAAGCACTGCATATAGTGCATATAGACTTATTATTTTTAAAGTCTGAAAAGAAGAATTCGTCTGGCCCGTACAATGCGGTTCATATCGGACTACATGTTCTTATGTGTGGTTACGTTGCATGTGATTGTCTGCATGTGGATGTAAACGGCATTTCTCTAAAATAATAAACGGCACTTCCCTAAAATGATCATATTTTAAATTTTTGTTAAGTGGAACTGGAACCAGTTGTTAATTTTTAGTTTGTATTTCGAAACAGATAATTACAAAGCTTTAAAGGAAACAGTTGTTAATTTTTACCAGAAAGAAACAGTTTTTAAAAACTAATTTAGCTGAACCAAGTACGCAGGATCATCTTCCAATAATTCTTCAGTAAAGTACCTTTTAAATCAGCCTACATGATTGAACTGATTTTCCAACAAAAATAAAAATGATTGAAATAATTAATAATGGAGAAATTTGTTAATTTGTTAAAATCAGCTGGCTTTTTTATTCCGGATCTTCTATACGTGCCATAATCAATGACGACCTTAATGTTTGTTATATGATTATTAGAGAATGATCATTCAACAATAAAATATACATCAAGGACTAATAGCTCTCCATATTTTGATTTTCGGTATAACAAAATGTATGGATATCGGCTCATAACCTTACGGTCAACGAAAACGATAAAACATAAACATTAGAAGATGGTATATATTTTCTTGTTACATTGACGAGTCCTATAGTTATAAAAGTGGCACACATATGTGTAACAGATAACAAGGGTCTATATGGGTCTTGTCCAAGACAAACAGGTATTGACTATGCTACATTTTGTGATTGATTTAATAGATTTGACTCAAATAGACTCAAATCAAGAGTTCTTCCTCGTTTTTGTTGATCTTGGAGATCACTAAGTATGTTTAATAGATGATGATGATTAGAGATGATTTCGGGGTGAGATTTTCGTATAATAAGAGTGATTTAGCTCTGTGAGGAAGATAGAAGGTCAGGTCGGAGACGTAAGTAGTATTTGTAAGGAGAGAACAATTAGTGTTTCGAACTAAGTCTGGAAAGAGTCCACTTTGGTGCTTTTAATATTGTTACAGCGAGCTCGGTAGAGAGACAAGTGTATTAAAGTAGAGAGAGAGAGTCATAAATTTCGGATCCCCTCATAAATGATCTGTTGGGAGTATTTATAGCGGGAGCCAGGAGACGAGTTTCCTCCAAATCGGGACAACGTGGCAGCTTCAGCGCATCTCGCGGGTATGGCGTCTCGAGCCGCGCGTCTGAACCACTCCGCGGCAAGTGATGATGGTCCTTCGCCGAGCTACTTGCACGCATAGGCCACTGTGGACGAACTGCCCTTACACGTGTCAGGTTCTGCTCGGCTCCGCACACTGTAGATCAGCGTCCTAATGATGGCGATTTGGCGGGACCATGCTGACCGGACTCGTTGACTTTGACTGGATTTCTGTTGACTTGGTCTATGGGCTTTTATTATGTAAGATGGGCCTAGCTAATTGGGGGTGCTAAGCCCACCTCCAACAGTTTTCATTATTGTCCACCAACCCCTCACAAAGAATAACGTACAGATATTCTAGCAAAGACGTTCCGAGACATGAATTCAGTTTTTTCTTCTTTTTATTATGACTTTTATTTCTTATTGGTCAATTGACTTATATAAGTAATGTATTCAGAAATGTAAGTACAAAAACTCAGAGCATCATTATCCCTAATACCCCAAATGGGTTTCTTAATAATTTTTTATTACTAAACATAGATTAAGAAACTTCTTAAGAAACTTAATGGTTCTAATGGTGCATTGCTAATACCCCGTTGGGTTTCTTAAATAAAAATTTGTTTAAAGAAATATGTTTTATTTAAAAAAAATCTAATTATTTGATTACAACATTCATAACATTAACACTTAATACAGAAAGTTGATTATTAAATAAAACATAGGAATAAAAACTCAATTATTTGGCTAATTTTCTCCAAATTGTTGCCATATATGCTCAACCAGATCGAATTTCAGTTGATGATGAATTTGACTATCCCGTACTCTTAGTCGAGCAGCCATCATATTAGTAACCCTTGAGGGCATATTCGTTTGAAACGTATTATTGACATTACCACCTCCACTTCCTTCTCCTTGTTCGAAATCTGAAACATCAAGTAGACTGTACCTGTCTCTTTCGTCTTGTACTATCATATTGTGTAATATGATACAATCTCTCATAATTTTTCCAATTTTAGCTTTATCCCAAAAAAGAGCTGGATTTTTAACAATAGCAAATCGAGCTTGCAAGACCCCGAAAACACGTTCCACATCTTTTCGGACAGATTCTTGATGTCGAGCAAAAGCACGTGCTTTTTCTCCTTGTGGAAGTGGAATTGATTGGACAAATGCTGTCCATTTTGGATAGATGCCATCTGTTAGATAATATGCCAAATTATACTCCGTTCCGTTGACCGAGAAATTTACTTTCGGAGCTCGACCTTGTATGATATCATCAAAAACAGGTGAGCGATCAAGCACATTTATGTCGTTTAAGGTACCTGGGGGTCCAAAAAACGCATGCCATATCCACAGATCATATGATGCAACCGCCTCTAAAAACGATTGTGGGTTTTCCCGATCCTCGTGAATATTGCCCTTTCCAGGTGGTAGGGCAATTCTTCCACTCCTAATGCATACAGTCGATGCTTCCTATCATTCCGGGAAATCCGCGTTGCTCTCCAAAATTAAGTAAGCGTTGAAGATCTTCTGCTGTGGGTCTTCTTAAGTACTCATCACTGAAGGTGTTTATTATTCCATCAACAAAATGTTCCAGACATTTACGACTAGTAGTCTCACCAAGTCGGAGATATTCGTCAACCGTGTCAGCTGCAGTGTCGTATGCTAAAAGACGTATGGCTGCTGTACACTTTTGAAGTGCAGAAAGACTACACCTTCCGAGAGCATCTTTCTTCTGGCCAAAGTATGGGACTTTATTGGAAAGTTTCCACACAATATGCATGAACAGAGGCTTGTTCATCCTAAAACGGCGTCGGAAATAATTTGCGGGATATGTAGCATTCTCACTAAAGTAATCGTTCCATAATCGATTATGGCCTTCTTCGCGCTCTCTCTCGATATAAGCTCTTTTTTTTCTTGATCTGGGTGCCTCTTGATGATCTTCATATTGAGTGCACAGATTTTCGTAAGTTTGATAAAAGAGATTTTGGAAAGTTTGATTAAACGAATCATCAAAATATTGATTAAAAGAATCATCAAGTGATCCATCATTGTTGTTATTGGATGATGAAGCCATAACAACAATAAAGATAGAAGAAGAAGAATGATATATGAGAATGAGAAACGATGAAGCAACCAAGGGAAATATTTTGGAGAAGTTGATATCGAGAACAACAATAGAAGAAGAAGAATGAGAGATGTATTTTTCTCAAAACGTTTATTGCCAATATATAGACAACTCATGATAATAATTCATAAAAATAGTGGTGCTGACAATACAATCCAACATGTGGTGTCAAATGACACAAAATAAAGTTTAAAAAAGACACAAACTACATGACAAATTGCTTGTGACTATTATTTGTGTTCTTGTGCCCACCACCATTGTAATTATGTGCCGACCTGAAACCAAAAGACAACATTAACACGTTAAGAAATCATAACCACAACCGAGCATTATAAAAAAACATAACAACAATAACAAGTTTCTTTCATATTTAAAAAAAAACACTTAACTTGCAAATACATATACTTGTAACCAAACACCAAAGACATAACCTATCATGCTTAAACTTGTTAAAGGTCTTACAACAAATACTAACTTAAACAACAAGAAGTTCACAACGAGCAACACAAAAGACATAACCGATCATGCTTAAACAGAAATAGAAATACTAACTTAAAATAACAACAAGTTCACATCAAACAGAAGTTCAAATCAGTTCGCTTATCAGCTTCTTCTTCATATCTTCTTCATACTCAGTAAGGGTTTCTTTTTTCCCAAGGAGACATTGAAGTAGTGACAGCTTAGTCATCTTTTATTGATGAGCATTGTCCTTCTCTTTTATTGCCCACATTGTTTGGAACTCAGCCATTGGAACCTTCATCACTTCAATGCTCTTCTTTCCCTTTGCTTTTGAAGCTTTGACTCCTATAGGTCTGCTGTTTCCATTGTCTTTGCAGGTATTTCCCTCAGCTGCAATGTCATCATCGTTTGGACCATCTTCTAACCTTCTTCGTTTGGAGCTCCCATCTTTGTTAGTAGAAAGATCACACCATTTTTGATCATTTCTGAGCTCCTTCCACGTGTGTTCTAAAGTAAATTTCTTCTTGTGAGAAGTGTAGAAGATCTGATGCACCATTTTGAGAATGTCATTCTCGTTCTGACCAGATGATCTCTCTCTTGTTGCAGCCTCAAACACCCGCAAAACTTGCACACCAAGTCGTTTATCTTCTGCCATCTTTGCTTGCACTGCACCGCCGATGCAGGTTCACGGCCTTCAGCATTATTGGCAAAATACACAGATATGCGTTTCCAGAAAGCCCCACATCTCTGCTCATTTCCTACGATGGGATCTTTGCTCGTGTTTAACCACGAGCTTATAAGCAAGACATCATCCCCTGGGCTCCATGTTCTTCTCTCTTTTTTGTCTGCAGGCGAAGCTTCACGGAGACTTGGACCAAATGCATTCGGTTCTTCACCAAGGCTTTCTGCATATCCGCAGAAGACCCTGTCTTGTTGACTATTAAGAAGATTAACAAAGTTTGACGTTTGAGAGAAATCCATATGTTATATGGATTTAGAATGAAACAGTAAAAGAAGATGAAAAGTGAATAGAGAAGAAGGAAAAGAACAAGCAAATAGATATGAAGGAGAAGACTACAAAAGCAGAAGAAGGAAACAGAAGTAGAATATGAAAAGTGATTAGAGAAGAAGGAGAAGAAGAAGCCGATAATGGTGAAAGTAAAGAAAAAAGAGAAGCACCGAGAAGATATAGAAGAAGAACCACCGAGAATATGGAGAAGAAGAATCAAAGTTTGGAGTCCTTATTTATTACAATCCATAAACCCTTTCTAACCACATGGATAAGACATTTACCTAAAATTATCAAAGCATTCATCAAGCTAACCATTTATGACTAACCAGAAAGAGAAGAGCTAACTTTGCATTTATCTACCATTATCTAACACAAATTGCATTTAACTTTGCATTTATTACCAACAGGATGAGTTGAAGACAAACCTGAAGAGCTTGTGAATGCCAGATGAGATGGACGATGTGATGCAAAACCTCACTGATCATCTCCTTTATCTGCATTAAAAAAAAGAAACAACATTAGCCATTAATAGATTCACAACGACCAACAACCAAATTACTCGAGCAAACAACCAAACACTTCACATTCAACCAAACTATTGAGCACATACATCAATCGACCATCGATCCGTAAACTATCTTAAGAGAGAAATGAAGACAAAATCATTATGAAAACAAAGTAAAAAACTGGATTCATAAAGCAAAATATTACCAAAATCAAAAATTATAAACCAAAAGTGGAGATGAGATTGAGGTACCGAGGAATTGGTCGGGGATATGGTAGAAGAGAACCACCGGCGTCATATGCGTCTTCACCCGGAGGATATGGACCTCGCGCCGGAGATATCGCCGGAGATCACGACGAGAACGCGATTTGGCCGAGGAAAATTGATCCAGTTTGGAAAGAAATTGGATCGAATAGAAAAATGTCCGATGAATGCGATTTGGCCGAGGAAAAAAAATAAAACCGATAATCTGTTTAATGCATGTTTGACACGTGTCCAAGAAGAACCGGTTCCGTCCGCTCCAAAATAAGGATCGACTCTATTTGCTTTTGGGCTTTAGTCCATTATTTAACTAATTTTTTGGGCTAAGAACCCACTTCAGTATATGCGATAATGATGCTCTCACAGGACACACAATATCTATGATTTGAAACGATGCTCTCAGAGGACACACAATATCTATGATTTGAAACGCACCAATTAAGTGTAGTGTTTTTTTTTTTATTAGAATAATCTTTTCTACACAAGTTACACTTCCTTCTTTTTTTGCCAAACTGTAGATATTCATATTAGTGAAAATGTTTTAGGCCCAAGTTTGACCAAAATGTTTTAGCCCATTAAAAATCTCTTTACGGCCAAAATTTTTTTTCCACCCACCCCTAAGCTCTTGAGCCGTGTGAGCTTACCACGTGCGTAGGGGCAACCCAACAATGTTATCACATAAAAAACAAATTTGTAAGGGCCTACATAAATATTTTAAGTGTATGTTTTGATTTATCCTGAAAAAGAATTCTAAATATTTTAAGTTTGATTTTTTTTATTCTTTAGTAAAGGAATGCGGATATATTTTCTCATTTACATGTAACAATTTATGGATAAAGATCTCTTCAATTCTTAAAACAATATAATGTTCACTTTCTCAAGTGGTGATAAATATTAAAACAAAAAAGTGGTAATAAATATTAAAACAAAAAAGTGGTAATAAATATTAATAAAATTTGAGACATAGTAAACGAATAATATATTACGTTGGTAAAAATACGATATCACAGTGTCTATTAGTCTACCTTTAATGGGAGGTATGTAAGCTTTTTCTTTTGATTTTGATTTTTATCCAAAAAAAGTTTTATTTTGATATTAATAATCATCTTCAAAGTTTGCCACGTGTTATCCACGAAACCACATCTCATATTCTTCCTGATCAAAAAAAAAAAAACTGCTCGTCTTCTTGTCCTCTTTCTCATTTCCTAATCATAAAAACAAAAAACAATAACAAAAAAAAAACTGTGTGTCCAAAATTGATCAAGAACTCATAAATTACAAAGAGAAATCAAAAATCCTCTAGTTGGCAAATCTCCGGCGATCATCTTTCTGTTTTTGTTACTCCTCGAGTTTCAGACATGACGGCTGCGAAGCTCGTGGCTTCGTTACTACTCCTCGCCTTGGTTTTCACCACCGGTGTCTTTTCCGATGCCGAAATCGACGGCGGTGAAGAACCCAAGCCCGCCGGATCCGACGGCGGTGTAACTTCCGCTTCTGAGATCAAATTGGATCAGCTTAATGCTAAAATCCGTGTCCTAGGTTAGCTTTGTTTGCCTCTTGAAGATGATTGTAACAGTTACTATTTTTTTGTTTTCTCGATTTTACTTTCATTTTTTCCGATCGGATTTTAGACCTGTTTATAATTTTTTTGTTTTTTTTTCTTTTGGTTGGTGAAGAATCCCAAATTGATGACAAAACCAGAGAACTTAAAGGGAGAGAGGAATTAGCAGCAGAGAAGGAGAAGCTTCTTCAAGAGAGACAAGACAAGGTTTCTTCCTTGGAGACTGAGGTTTCTTCACTAAGAGTATGCATCACTTCAGTTGATTCCTTGCTCAGACATCTTTGTATAGATTTTTCCATGTGTTCTTTAAGCTTCTTTAGATCAATCTTTCTTTCGGATTTTGGAGTCTTAGATTGTTTTTTGTTTTCACTTGTCTATAGAAAAAAGGTTCATCAGATTCTGTGGAATTGTTGGGGAAAGCTCAAGCAAGAGCTGCTGAATTAGAGAAGCAGGTAAGATCTTGATTTGAGAACTCATCTTCTGTTTTCCTGTTATTTGCAAATGGCATGTGATTGGTACTGCTACATATAGGTTGAGGTGCTTAGGAACTTTCTTGAGCAAAAGAACAAGGAGAAAGAATCCACAGAAGCTCGGACTAGTGAAGCCGAGAAAAAACTAAAGGAATTGCACTCGAGAGTGGAGAAAGTATGTTCTTTACATCCCTTGGTTCAATTTCTCTTGACATGCATTATTAACAAATTTATAGAATCGTTTAAATAGCTTAGCTAGACTTTGTTAAGGTTTAAGCCGGGATTGTTATTCAATGCCATCTTTAACCTCACTCTATTATTTGCTATAAAGGCGCCTTGTGTTTGATGTGAATATAGATATCTAGAGTTTTATGCAAGTTGCTCGATAGATATGTGCGTTTTGTTTATACCAATTGTTAACAAGAAAGTCCTGCAGCTTCACAAGACTAATGAAGAGCAAAAGAACAAAATACGAAAACTTGAGCGTGCTCTTAAAATTTCTGAGGTATGATGATGCTTTTGGATTAAGTTTATGTTCCGCACGACTTTTGGTTTCCTGCCATCACTGTTGACTCTGATCAAAATAAAATTATAGGAAGAAATGTTGCGGATGAGGCATGAAGCAGCCACAAAGGCTAAGGAACTGCTGGAGGTAACTTTTACATTCCGTGTTTTGTTGAGTGTTTGAGTTATTCTAATACATTGTAACATTTTTTGCGTTGATTTAGACAAATTAGTAAATTTGGAAAGCCGAAATTGAGAAGAAGGTTAAGACATGAATTGTTTATTTGATCAGGTTCATGGCTCGTGGCTCCCCCCTTGGCTTGCTGTACACTGGATTAATTTTCAGGTTAGGTTAATAGAGTTAACATTTCACGATTTTTTGAGACATGAGAGGCTTTCTCAATTAACTTGGACACTTCCTCGACTCAGACTGAGCACTGATGCTCTTCAGCACTTCAATGGTCCTGAGCAAGAAAGCTGAGTTGGTTTGCTGCCTTTGGGAACCATTAGACCCTTGTCCTTGAGATCCTACCTTGAGACCTTTGTCCACCAGCTCTTGAATACCATCTGGGTCTTTATCAAAGATGAAGCTGAAAAGTGGGCTGAACCTCACATGGTTAATGTTAAAACTGTAAGCAGCTTACAGGATATGAAATCTATTTCTCAGATCAGGCTTTTATGGTTTTGCTTATGAAATTCTATATGCAGAAATATATTCCAGCCATTAAAGAGACTGTCAAAACGCATGTTGAGCCACACGTACAAACACTATCTACCAAAGCAAAAGACGCTTACCATGCTTCCAAGAGTGCTGTTACTCCACATATTGTCAAGTTTCAAGAACATGTAGATCCCTATTACCAGGTGAAGTAATTTTATTTTTTTATCTATCTAATTTTTTTCACGGAATACTATCTTTCAGCCCCATCGGCTGATGACAACTTCCGCTTATTGCTTTTGTTAACTCTCTAGGAGGCTAAAAAGTTTAGCAAGCCATATGTTGATCAGGTGGCTACGGCCACAAAACCCCATGTTGATAATGTTAGAGCTACCATGAAGCCTTACACAAAGAAAGCTATTCACTACTACAAAGAGTTCCTAAAATCTGCCACAACGTATCACCATCAGGTCAGAATCTGTGGCCCTAATATATAGACACTCTAGAATCTGGATATGAATAATGCCATTTCTGGAGGAGTATATGAGCTTTTAAGCTCATTACTGTGTATATCTGTGAAGGTTCAAGCCAATGTGGAAAGAAAATTGAAGAGTCATGAGCTGTCGGAACCTTTTGCCACCAAAGAGTTCATTTGGTTTACAGTATGTTTTCTGGTCTTGCCCATTCAGATATTATATTCTGTGTGGTTTCCTCTCTTACAAATTGAAAAACTGTTTACTGCAGGCCTCTGCTTTGTTGGCGTTACCCATTTTCATAGTGTACAAATTCCTCTGCTCTCTCTTCTGGCAAGTCTTTTATCACTAATCCATTATTGCTAAGATGTTAAGATTAGTTTTAAAGATACTCCATACTTGATTGCACAATATGACCTTTAGTTTGTATGTTGCAGCACAAAGACAAAGAAGCCTATCCGACAGTCTCATCAGCATGGTCGTCGTAGAGCCAAACGGAGTCATTCGGACAAGTGAAGTAACATGATTTCTGCTGTTTTCACTCTGAAAATATTAGTGGTACGTCTCGCTTTCTGCTTATATACTCGTCTGTCATGGATCATGAGATCATAAACAAAGAATCGGTGGTTTCTGAATTGATCAATAGGCCGAGCAAGAATTTACTTGCCATAGACTGATTCTGTCTGATGTTGAAATGTAGATACTGTGTATCCTATATGCGTTAGTCCTTTCGTTAAATCGAAAACCTTTCAACACTTACCTCATGTTGTGTAGAAGCGATTAGCAAACTAGTGACTGTGGTTAAAACTTTGTAATTATCATGAGACCCTTTGTGTTTACTGTCTCTTCACCTTTCTATACTCTTGCAGGTAACGACGTGTTTTGATGCGGTTTCTTTGTGCCTCAGCAACGGGCATATGTTGTCTAAACAGCCCATGTTAGGTATCTGAGGGTTTTTTTTTTGTGATGTTTTTCTATTGAAGCTCTCTGTGCAGAAGTGTTTCTTCACTCTCTTTTTGAGATGCCTTTTGGATAAAGTTTTCAGTCTTTTTATACAGAGAAGATTAGACATCTTAGAAGAAATGTGTAGTAAACAGCTTGGTTTATGTATTTTGTGGATAGATTTGGGACTTGATCTTCTACTATTTAAAAGCTATTACTCTCGTCTAATCCTTTTTACCGATTCTACGGATACTTTGGTCTCAATCGTTTGTTTGCGTTTGCGTTTGATTTACTGTTTTTTTTTTTTGGAACCAATACCTACAAGCATTTTATATATATTTATTTGTTAATTGTAAACGTAATTGTCAATTGCAAATGAAGATCTACAGTTTACAATCAGAATGTTTTCTACTGGAAAGGCATGATTCTTTTTTTGATTTTTTTCTCTCTCATATGAACGTAAATACAACAAATTAAGTGAGAAAAAAGGTGCTAAATTGGTGAAAGCAATGTCTCCAAGAGTCCAAATTCACGTACCATAACAATTCTGGACCAGGAGACTTTTATGGTTAACTAAAATGAAAACAAATTGGGATATTGATAAAACATTTTCTTTTATTTATAAGCAAAATAATTTGCCATAAATCATAAAGCCAGACCATAATTGGTTTGACTAGTCTGATTCTTAATCAATTTTATGATGAATAGCTAAACGTAACAATGCAATAACAAAAACAAAAACAAAAAAAAAGTATTACCAACCAAGTAAATGAAACTTTCTAGTTTCTTCCTCAAACCAACAACATTAAAAACCATAATTTAAACTGATAATTACTAATCAATAAGATGGCCAGTATCCATCCAAGTCCATGCACTGGCTCATTTCCACATTTCCAAACCCGTTTTCGCCATTGAACGAAGCACTAACCGCGACAACATCCTCCAGCGACACAGTAGGAGGGGGAGGCTGGACCAATCCACCACCAAGGTTGAGATTGAGCCCTGAGACAGGCATGTGTGTGTAGCTCATTAACTGCTGAGAAGAGTCCATGTTGCTGCTTGTGGAAGCACGGAAGACTCTAGAGAGCTCAGCTAGGTGAACGGCGTTAGCCATGAGGGTGTGGTTGATATTAAGGCTGGAATGTGGTTGTAGATGTGGTGGGAGCTGAAGGAGGTCTGATGAGTAATTAGGGTTGTTGTTGTTGTTGGTTGATAGTAATGAGGATCTTGTGTGGTTTTGGTTATGTTGACTTGTGCTGCTGCTACTATTGCTTATGTATTTCTTGGTTGCTTCTGTTTTCTTGAACACTCTACACACCACCCATTCGTCTTGCTGGTTTTTACATGTTACACAATGGGAAAAGGAGAATTAATTGAGTTTTTATGTATATTCTTCTTGTGAAACAAGCTGCGTTCACTTTATGATTAAAGTAAAAACTAAATTCTTATAAACCATCTTTACTGGATTATATATATATATATATATATTTATATATGATATTCAAATTCATGCCAAAAGCACTAAATTGTGTCTTGTTTTTGTCGAGATCAATAAAATGTCCATACTCGTCTCGACATGCAAATTAGTCACTATGAATATTAAAACAAAAAAAAAGCAATACGTAGCAGGAACATTATAGAGTTTTTTAAACAACGCATTATGTGGATTTGAACAGATTTGACATAACTAGACTTAAATATTAGCCATCTTTACTATAGCCAATAAAATTTAGGCCATTTTGAAATTAGTTCATCATTTTGTACTATTTTAGACCATTTTCACTAAAATTTATACCACAATGATAGTAACTATAGGTTTTTAGATTAAATGAGTTACCTTGGAGGTTCTATAGGAGGACTTGGAGTGAAGTCGATATTCATGCATGACCCAACTTGTCTTCTCACCTCGAGGAGCTCTTCCTCTGTAGAAGACCAAAGTCTTCTTCATTCCGACCAACTCCGAGGTTGTGCTATTAAATATCTCTTTGTCTTTTCCTGTGGTTTTCCAATATCCTGTATTTGTCGCCCGATTTGTTCTCACTCCCGTCGGGTACTTTCTGTCGCGTAGGCTAAAAAAGTACCATTCTTTTCCTACCATTTTCGCCTTATCTATCAAAATATTACTCAAACAGAGAAACTTTGTAAGTAATGAGCTAGTGTTAACTTAGCTAAACAACTATTTTTGGCTTTTTGATTACTTTTATTTTTCCAAAATAACAACATCTCACTAGACACTAAGTGCCGAAAAAAAAAACATGTTCTCACTAGTCAGTGATAAGCTTAAAGCTTTAATTGATTTGGTAATCCATGATTATATTTTAAGTGTTTCTGTGATGTATGATAGAGTGTAAAGAACTCTATGAAAAGATGCGGAATAATGACAAATTTGTTAGCTTTGAATCGGTTCGGTTTAAAACCAAAAAAATGAAACAAAGATATTATTAACTTATTGGATTATAGATGAACTACAGACAAAAATGAGTAGATGAGAAATTAACGTACGTACGGTAGTGAAAACATGACTTCAGTTGATGTAATTAAAGTTTGTTAGGAAACTTTATCGTGTGATAATCTATTTTTAAAATACGCTTATATATTTTTCCAACCGATTTTTTTCTTTTTCTTTTTACCTGAAACTCAAAACTATTCCATATCTATTTATAAATTTATTAGTATAAGAAAAGTTATGTGAAGATTGTGGAGAGGATATCTAACACATACAAATTAAAGGAATTACAATTGACGTGCTATTTGTTTTACACTAACCGACTTCTGATTAGTAATCAAGAATATATTCATGATTTTATATTGCATTTTAATTAAAAAAATATACTCAAAACGACAAAATCAGTGGGCGTTCTAAACTTTAAGATGCTACCTTAAATAGAAAGATCACTAAACATTTGAACATTATGTTCATTTATATATATATGTATATATATATACAGTATAAGCAAGTTCTTAACACTATACGACTCAGTTATGTCTCACATCATGTTATGTAGGTATATACCATATGCGTAAAATATAAGAAACATACATATTACATATTTATATATATATATATATACATATCCGTTTATAAAAGAAAATAAACAAACCTAAAAAATATGCATATATCGCTTTGGATATCTTTTAAGCAAACGTATTTAGGTCTTTCCAAGTTTGAACAAAATCATAGATATATAAATGTATACATGTATCCCATAATGAAAGATGTAAAATACATATCATATAGTTATTTAATTTACACATGTGTGAATTGTGATCTCTTGTACTGTATCTATACGAAGAAGGCAAGTAGCTATTTATATGTAGTAATTGACGTACCAGGAAGCTCCCACGGCTCTGACTTGTTGAGATCAACGTCGGCGATTGCTTTTCCGGTGAAGTTTTGATCGGCGATCTTATTAACTAAATAATACGAAATTAGCTCCTCATCCGTTGGATGAAACCTGAAACCCGGAGGCAAAGCTTCTTCTTTTTTCTTCTGCTGCTGCTGATCTCCTTGTTCCATTACTCCAAATCCAAATACCTTTTATATCTGCTTCAAATACCTAGCTAAGTGTCTAAGATTCACCATCCATTAGAATATGGAAGGACATCGATCCTCACGTTCAAAAAATGTTTTATTTCAAAAATCAATGACCTAAAGGAGGAATTTGAAAGAAGAGAAATAACAAGGTCTATATATGAAATATATGTATAGCGTAAGAGATTGGGCTTACTCACATGGAAGAAGAAAAACCAGACAACCAAAACTTTTATGAGATTAGGGTTTTGGTGGTATTTATATGTCATGGGACAGGATGACTTGTGACTATTCTAAGGAGAAAAGAAGGAAGAAGAGACAAAGAGCAGGTTTTCTTTTTCTTCTTTCTTTTGCCATGCATGCAATTTTTTTTAGAAAAAAACAATTATTCTAACACGGTTTTGCCTTAAATTGAAGATCAAATTTCTAATTATTATATTCAGAAAATCCAATTACCATCAAAGTATGAAAGCAATAGAATCTTCCAATGAAGACTGCATTGTAAGCATTATAAATTTCATTGAAAACCTTTTAACAGCAAGAATTTTTAATTTCAAGAGATGAGTTTTTTGTGATTATTTATAAATAAGTATTTAAATAAGATAACTATCAAGTGACTAGAATTTATAATATAGAACAAATAAGGAAAATGTGGAAGAGAGAGTGTGCATGAAGCTCTCACCTAATAAGGGTCTTCAAGTACAAGGTACATGCAGCTAAACCTCCCACGTCCAAATTTTATCCTTTGTTTATTTTGTGTAGTTGGTCAAGAAATTCTCCTTTTAGGACCCTTATTAATTCATCTTATCTTATACATATGCATACTCATATAGTTATATCTATACACACGTGTACAAATACCTATAAAATTTACATGTAATTTCATTCGAATGTAAACATTCGATAAAATAATATAGAAAATTAATATGATTTGTGCACAATACGGCATACAAAATCTTTAAATTTATGCATCACTAATTAGCAAGGAAAATATCACAACTTACGTATGTATGCAAATTTTGTTGGTTCGGAAATCGATAAAATACAACTAATCATCCGAGTTTAAAGGCGCATCTTAATGCGGCCACCAAAGTATTTAAATGATGAGTACTGTTGGGGGTACTGTATTTAGCCCGAACTCATCACGAATTATTAGAAAATCGCAGTTAAAATGTTGGATTCTCCAAATCCATGAGTTTTTCAAACCTACATATATCTTACTCTCTATTAATATGATATTATTCGTTTATATACAAGAGTAAAAGTTTGCACAGATTTATTTTTAGACTCTTTTTCAGAATGAATCATACTAGTTGAAGTTAATTGGATTTATATATTAGACTATTTTTGTGATTGATATCCCAGTAATCCTCCTTTCGAATAAAAACAATTCAACGGCTCCAATTGATGCTTGATGCCCAACATAAATCCTTAGATTTTCCCCTAGTGAAACTTTTTACCTAAAATTTTTGGCATCCGTTAAGAAGACTTTTGTCACAAAGCACTTATACCTCTTTAATAGCGAGATCACTTTGAGGAATTTTTCCCACAACGAATATATAGCTCACACCCTCTTTTCCAGGTCCACATTTCTGAACCAAGGATCTAATATGTATATTTTGCATGTTTTAATGGTTTTTCCCTTTATTTTTAGTCTCACTCTGTATAGCTTTTATGATATTTTTATGTTTGGGTCTTTTTTCTTCTTGTCATGAATTTTAGAGTCATAGATGTGTTTCTTTTCATTTGCATTGCATATTTTGGTCTTTGTAGGGACTTCAGAGTTTGGAGATGAATGGAGACTTGCATGGAGGAAAAATAAGACAAGAGGAGAAAAAAGAGATGAAGAACAAATCAGAGGAGGTTTGTATCGGTTTCTGAACCAATATGGGAGGCCGATATGACAAAACCCGTGATGGAAAAAGTATTCAATTCTCTGAGAAATCCTCCATATCGGTTCCAAGACTGATGCAACATACCAATATGTGGAGTCAACAAGACGTCTCTGAAAGATCGACACGAATGAAGGCTTTACGGAGGTTTTATGGAGCTCAGACTTTAACACGACATAGGAAATGGTTTAACGGCATTTCGAACTATATTTTAAAAATTATTTGCGATTAATTGACACCTTGTTAACAAATAAAAACCACTAATTCACTACCATTTCATTATCATGATTAATAATATGAATTAGCCATCACTATAAATAAGATTTCACTAATTTGTCTTAACATCTCATCTTAAAATAAACACAATGAGATTCCATATGGAGATTGAAAAGGACAAAGAAACTCTATAACATTAGGATAATCTATATAACATTTCAGTTTAACTATCAATTTGGTGAAAAAGCATTGAAAAACAAACGCATATATCTTTGTCAAAAAAAAATGTTTATAGACTATATAGTATATTAGTAATCAATCGAAACCTAACATCTCATTTTGAAATTCCGGGTTGACTGCCTAGTGGTAGGAAATAGGAATAACTTGAAATAAAAAGAAAAATATATATCAAACTTGGAAAGTTTTAGATTCATAGTCTCATAAATATAAACAATAATTATCTTGGACTACGTAGTCAGTGAAAAGAATAAAATATCAGAAAATAATTAAACAATAGAGCATCTAAGATCTAATAACAAAGTATTTGTGTCAATAGTTATTGCAATTATCGCTTAAAATATAGAATTTTGGACTAAGAAATTACTGAAATTTATCTAAGATGTTCAAATTTTTCATTGAACTCAATAATAATTTATATCTTTATCAGATGATAAATGTTAGTTAATTTTGATAATAACAATGATAATTACACTTTCTGAAGATATGTTATAGTATTTCCCTTATACTCTTGGTCTTCCAGAAAAATAATTGGTTTAACTTATAAAACACTTCATGTAAGAAAACGAAATGCGTCTCTAATCAACGAAGAATGTCTCAATCATTAACACCTACCGTTCTTTGTACATTTTTCTCCTAATGTTTCCTACGAAGCTATCATCATTACGTATAGCTATTTAATATTTAAGAAAAATCTAAAAGATTGTTATAATCTGTTTACAGTTCAAAATTTTCAAATGTTAGGATATGTTCACTCCAACAAGAAATTACGACACATTTACCTCTTCATATCATATAATCATATCATCTCTCGCGTGATTATTGGGCAAGCATTTTTACTACGAGAAATTATAAGTCCATTATAACAACAATCTTTAGTAAATTCGCACCGCTAGTCTTTAAAAATCAGAACGTACTTTTATATTTTGGCAAGACCCACAAAATTACTTCTATTTTTTGAAGATCCCATTTTACATAAAAAAACAAAAAAAAATTTAGTCAGTTTTTTTTTGCTTTCACTATGATCATGTAAATTATATTTATTTTCTTTACATGGATTAGTAGGATCTGGTTAAATATTTTGTTTTTTAAAAAACTCATATGTTATGATCTCACGTCCAAAGTTGAAATGAACTTATGTTACATGAAAAAATGTTTTATAAAAGATAGACAGCATTTCATTTCTGTCTGTTGACTTTGACACTACAAAAAAACAGAGATTTAACGACCTTATATATAGTTGCTAATTAGTCGCTAACACTAAATTTACGACCGAGTTCCGACTAATAGCATCAGTCGCTAATATTGAGTCGCTAAATCAATTAGTCGCCTATCAGTCGCCAAATACCGACTGAATAACGACTAAATGTTGACAAAGTTAATCAGTCGCAAAGTAGTCGTTACCTTAGCGACTGATTGACGACTGTTGTTGCGACGTATTTGCGACTGAATGGCGACCATATGGTTCGATAATTGAATGATATTTGGTGCAATTTAACAACTTTTTTGCGACGTATTTATGACTGTATTCCGACTGATTTACGACTGCATTGCGACGGCTTCAATAAATGAAAACAAAATCTAGTTTTATGATTAGATTCTTCCAAATCTGATAATTTGAATCCATTCTACATTTTAAATAACAATTTAACAGCAAAAAAATATTCAAATGCAAAATGCAAAAAGTCATTATATTACATAATACCATTGTTTTAAAAAAAGACATAAAACCATTGTTCCAAAAGGTACTAAACAAAGATCAAATGGTTACATACTTAACCATTGAGATAAGTTCAAAAGAGTGAGCCGAGATACTTAAAAAAGAGACATAGAAAAACCTTAAGAGTGAGTTTGATCACTTGGAAGAGTTTGATTTGCAGTCAAAAAATCCATGAACTTTGGATCAGTTTCAGTCAAATACTTCTCCACCATAGATAACTTGTCCAGCTTGGCTTGTTGCTCTGCTTCACGCTTGGAGTTCTCAGCCGCTTGTTCTTCTATTTTGCGATGAGCTTCTTGTAGCTGCTCTTCCAATCCCTTGTATGTTGAAGAGCTTCCTGGGCTTTTCCTCTTTCCATTGACATGTGTCTCTGAAAGACTTCCAATTCCATAAGGAATACCTCGCTCATTTATGAAAGTCGACTGCAAAAACAAAATAAGGATCAAAGCATCAATGCATATATATTAACATCAAAGCATCAAACAAAATAACAACTTGAAAGCTATAGAAGCAAAGCATAATATAAAAGAACACATCAAAAATAAAAAACGAAGACTTTACCTGAAGAAAAATCTCATTCTCCTCTTCTATGGTTAGCCCCAACGATGGTGAAGTACCATCTGAAGTCTCTGAGTCTATCCCGCGAGTTGCCAACTTGGATTCCAGGTTCTTCCTATAAGCCTCAGCCACAGTCTTGGACTTTCGGTCTACAAATGTTCCATCTCGTTTTGTATGAACCTTGATGAAAACTTCACCAAGGCTCACCGGTCTTCCCAACTCTTCTTCCTGAAATGATAACAATATAAAGAAAGAGTTAGTTTCCATCTGACTAAAGATGATATATAACTTATGAGAAAGTTAAAAATTGATATACTTACCATTTCTTGTTGGATTTGGAGGCATGACTTCTGCCTTGAGAAGTGAACATGAGGACCAAGTCCATTACGCTCAGACATCCGAGCAGCTGATGTGGTGGAACTCTTCTCTTTGGCTTCTTCAGTGTCCCAATACTCTGTCATTTGTTTCCAAGTGGTATCTCCAATCCAGTTTGGTTGTTCTCGAGAAGCCCTAACCTTGCTGACCATGTCTTTCATCCGGAGGAGACATACTCTCTCAAACCTTTCTTGAACCACACCGGTTAATAAAGG